GGGGGGGGGGGGGGGGGCGGGGCAAGCGGTTCCCACTTTGACATCTCCGTCCGAAGGAGCCACGTGTCCCTGACACCTACCCTTGCAGTCGAGCCCGGCTGAAACCTGAGCCGCGGGGGACGCTGGGGCTCGAGACGCTCGCCTATCCCGTCCCGGCGCGAGCCAGCGCCCCTCGCCGCCTGCCCCGCCCCTCCCGCAGCTTAACCCTTTGCTGTCTTGAAAAGCTGCCCGGATCCGCCGGCCAAGGAGAACCGAGGCGTGCGCCGCAGCAGCCCTTCTCGCATTAAAAGTGGCGCTTCTGCCTGTAGCATAAAAGTTCCCTTGTAGGGAATCCGGCACCAGGGCAGACAGACGCGCGCTCTCATATCCGGGGGCGCTGCTACTAGATAATCTGTATTAGTTACCTCGCTGGTTTTAACCACCATTAGAATGGGTTAAGGGACACATCTTTCCTGCCTCCTTTTCAATGCAGTAGAAAAGAGCAAGAGTCCCAGTAGCACCTTAAAGACTAAGAGAATATGTGGCAGGCGATGAGGTTTCGTGAGTATCTGAAGAAGTGAGCAGTGACGCACGAAAGCTCATCTCCTGCCACATATTTTGTTAGTCTTTAAGGTGCTACTGGACTCTTGGCTCTTTGCTACTGCTACAGACAGGCTAACGTGGCTACCCACCTTGATCGATCTCCTTTTCAATGGATATTTGTGTGTGTGTGGGGGGGGAGATTAGAGAGAAGTAGCCCGGGCTTCCAGCCGCCTGCCTGCCGCTTCAGTAAATGGAGAGGCAGGCGAGGTTGGGTAGTGTTAGCAGAATAATTCGCACAGCAACGGGTCGCAACAACCTGATTAAAGAACTGTTTATTTAGGAACTAATATACTTGATAGGAAAGAGAAGAGACAGATAAGTCGGTTCCTAACCACATCTCTACCTGAGAGAGAGGGTAAGACTGAGTGTGGCACTTCCGAGAAGGAAAGTTACCCTAAGAGTAGCACTCTGGAGACAGACAAGGAACCACACTTAACAGGAGAGAAGGTACTGACTTCACTTTCCTATCTAATTGTCTCCTTGCTGCCCCCTGCAGGGTCTTCTCTTCTTCTTACACCAGACATTGCCTTTTCCAACAAGCAGGTCTTCTTCCAAAAGAATTAACTTTGACTTGGCAGCGGGGAGGCCCCCAACTCTGGCGCAGGACTCTTCGAGTAAACACCGCTTCTTTCGCACACACCTCAGGGACTTATGGTTTTCATTGGTTCAACGAGGTTTGTGTTCCTGTGGCCCGTCAATGAAACTGGCAGAAATGCGATGGTGGGTCTTTGAATCAGCCGGGACATTGCAGGCGGTGCCTTGTTCAGAGCCCTGCATACTATGCATCATGTCCGCGATCCTTCCAACACCCCTGTACGGTAGGCCGGTGCTATAATAGCAGAATTGCAGGGACTGAGGCCATCTAGAGGCCGCATCGGATCTGGGGATCGCCTGGCTCATCAGTCTCTGGGAGCCGTTGGAAGGTTTGCCGGGCCTCTTGAAGGCACTGGAGCGCCGACAGAAAAGGGAGGCGTATCCTGACAAATGAAACGAACAGGGGGGGCTTAGCCAGGACTTTCTTTCAGGAGCAGTTCAGCGAAGAAGCGCTCGTCAGCGAACACCGACCCGCCCCCGGTCTCTCCCACCTCCACACACCCCCTCCCCCTCCTCAGCAGCCCCCCCCTCCGCAGAACTACAGCGGCTCATCGGCAGGCGTGTGCGTTCGCTCGCTCGCTCCCTCCCTCTTCCATTTGTTACGTGGCTTGGAAGGGAGTCCCATCGGGCACTGTGGGGCTTACTCCCAGTGACCGCGGTGCGCGGAACGACCTTCGGATCGCAGCCTTCGAAACCCTCCACTTTTGCCAGTCGGAGCGTCTCGGCCACGGCAGTCAAAGGCGGGGGGCGTAAACTGATAAGTCTCGGGGCAAACAAAGCCTATCTCCGGCGGCCGCGGAGCAAATCAAGTTTACTCAGGATCGCGGTCTGCCGTCGGCTGGGGCCAGCCCGGAGTATCAGTCTCGCGCCTGATTAGGAGGAGGAGGGGGGGGGGACGGGCTTCAAAGAGAGGGGGCGGAGAGCAGCGGCGGCGTTTCGAGGGCTCTCAAATCCGCATCTTCACAGACGCTCTTAAGCAATCGCTGTCTGTCCATTAGCGTAGCCCGAAGGCACACGAAACCTCACGCCCCGTCCCCCAGTAAATCCCGGCAACTGATCCTTTCCTTAGAAAGGAGGGCGGGATTTAACGCCGTCTGGCAGCCGCCGCATCCCGGGGGTGGGGGTGGGGGTGGGGGGGCTGGGGGGGGTGTCCCACACGTATAGGGCTGGGTCGACACGTGCATGTTTTGTCACTGCTGGCCCGGAACAGCGACTGGTTCTTTAAACAAGTGAAGAAGGTTATAGATCACAGTGAAGGGAATTCTTATAGGTCAGTTTCAATAGAACCTGTTTAATGGGAAGGAATTCAGACGTTCCACTGGAAACCATCCAACACCACAAGTGACAGACACAAGCGCATGGGTTTGAACTGGCCTATAAAGGTGTAGTTCAAGAGGGTTGAGCCCATGAGCCAGAGATGTGCCTACTAGTTCAACTGGCTTCCTTGCATACAAAATGCATAAATTAGGAAGTCCCTCCACCCATTCTATTTTCTTTCCCCTTTCTCGGTATTTCTCTAGATATGCATTTGAATGCAATCATCTGCAAATAAATATTGCTACTATTTTCTAAAAGGCCCTTAAGAGGAATGGATGGATGGGCTTCGGTACTGGGGTGTTATGGCGCTTACTCCCAGGTAAGAGTGCACAGGGTTGCATTGTCCATTTATTTATTAATTACATTTTAAATAACTGCTCAACACAGTTATACTCCTTTTGGGGATGACAACCATAGATGGCCACGTCACTCTAGGGGAAGGGGAGAATCCCAGAACAAACATTTTGTGTCATGCCAGTTTGGTGTAGTGGTTAGGAGCGCGGACTCTAATCTGGGAGAACCGGGTTTGATTCCCCACTCCCCCACATGCAGCTGCTGGTGTGACCTTGGGTCAGTCACAAGCTCTCTCAGAGCTGTTCTCTCATGAGCAGTCCTCTCAGAGCTCTCTCAGCCCCACCTACCTCACAGGGTGACTGTTGTGGAGAGGGGAGGGGAAAGGAGATTGTAAACCGCTCTGAGACTCCTTCGGGTAGTGAAGGGCGGGGTATAAATCCAATCTCTCTTCTTCTTTATCAGATCAGCCACAATATCACAGAGCAGGGATTTAAACTCAGGCTTTGCAAAGACTATTTCAAGACACTAACCACTGTGCCACTCAGACTATTCCCCCAGGCTAGGGTTGCCCACATATCTGGAGAAAAATCTCCTGTCCCTTTAACAGAGGCTTAGTATTGGAAATGGATGTTGTATTTTGGAAAACTTCTCAATAATGAACAATTGCCACTTTTAAAAGATCCCAGTGTGTTTCACAGGAAAGAACTGAAGGGGGTGTCTTTGCATATTTGGCACCCCACCCCACCCGGAGAAATCTGTCTGGAGAAATCTAGTATGTTAATTTTAAACATGCTGGAGGCCCACCCTGCTTTCATGTCGCTTTCTGGTCTCACTGAATCATCTCTCTCCCTTCCCCAATTTAATGCACTTTTCCTTCCAATCAGATGGGGGGGGGGTCTGGGTACCATGTTGTGGGTATTCATTAACTGAGTGAAGAGGAACAAGGGGCATTATTACTCATAGAGAAGGCAGCCTGCCCCCAAGACTATCTGAAGGTTCATTGTAAAAGGATTAAAAGTTAAAGACCTTCATCTTATGATTTCTTTCATTTAATCTTAGTGGCGCCTGGAAGACATGC